CCCTGCCCTCAGGGGCAAGCAGTTTACCTTATCACTTACCCTCAGTCGTTCCCTGTGCGGGCCACCAAATGCCGCAGTCTGGCTGGGCACAATTCATGAGCCACTTGTCAAGCAGAAACGTACTTTATTTTTAAAACGCACACGCTGCACCACACGAGCTCTTCAGGAATTCCCTCAGATCCCAACTGCCTCCACTGGCTTCCAGCGAGTCTCTCAACCCGTACTCTTCCCGCTCTTGAGGCCGATTGGCTGGGTCACGTGGGCGGAGCCCAAAGAGTCCCCAATGAGCAGCTCCATGGTCTGAAAGGGCGGGGAAACAGCCCAATGAGCATTACCACAGAGGAGCCAATAAGCTGGCAGCTTGAAGTTTGCTGGGGCCGCGGTGAGCCAATCAGCTTGAAGTTTGCTGGGGCCGCTTCGGCTGTGGCTCTCAACAGACCATTACACTCTCTCTCTGCATGTGTGTGTGTGTATGTGTATATATATATATATATATATATACACACATATATATGTCTGATATATATATATGTGTATATATATATGTCTGATTCTCTGCAGTTTTACAAACACAATCTGCATTGTACAATTCATGTTTATGAAACACTATATTATCCTATACTCAAAATTGTATTTTGTTTTTATGTTGAAATTTCTGAAATGTTTTTTCCAGGTATATTTTACTAAAATTTTAGAAATTAAATTTAATTAAAAATCCTCATGGAAATTAAATTTTTATATTGGTACCTATACACATAATGTTATTGTTAATTCAGTCTAGCCTTTGCCTGCTTCTGTTAGATGACATCTTTTTTCTTCACCATTAATGAAGTGTCTGATATTTGTAATTGAACTTCTAAATGGGGAAAGACCAGTCTCTAAGGGAAAGTTTTCTGTTGAAAATGCCATATGACCATACACACAAACCAAGACTCTTCTGCTACTGTATTCTCTTTTTAAAGATTATCATTGTGAAGTGAGGAAATAGACTTCAGCTTAAAATGTTAACAGTTGCCAAAGTTTAATTACATATCATTAAATATAGTTTGTACAGTTAAATTTTTAATGAATTCATTCATGATGATAACTAATTTTGCATAATTTTGATATTCTTTCCTCCATAGTATATTGGGGAAGTCTAATAGTTCTGCATTCTGTTCTTGGTTTATAATGTCATTTGACCTTGCAAATGAATTTAAATAACTTAATATGAATTTTTATCTCAGCAAATCAAAATTTTCACACTTCAGTTCCTTAAAACCAACTAAGAATGATTTTTGTCTATTTAATATTTAGCTATTTAGAAAGGTTAGAAATAAAGGATTAATTTTATGAAATTTTAGAACAATATATGAGCACATATACAAATATTTATGATATTGTAAATATTTATGTTGGTGAACATTAACATGTCTTAATTTCATATAATTAAAGATTAGTTTCAGTCAGGATCACTATGCTAAAAACAAAATAATTTTTAAAAACATTTTTTTAGGGGTAATATCTTGATCCTCAAAACACTAAACCCAGTTTTGTTCAATTGAAAGAAAAAAAATTTAACTTAGGGTAATCAGCTTGTAAAATAACCAACACTTTTTTCTCTTATACACTGCATAATGACAGAGATAAACACTTCTTTATATAGTAAGATTTTATAGGCAGCTGGAGATCTGGAACTGAAGTAGAATTGAGAGAATTTTGTAGGAGAAAGATTTAGAAATCACTGATGTAGATATCACTGCTCAAACCTAGGAGCAAATAAAGTTTATATGAGAGCTAATATAAATGAACAAATGTAGTGAAACAAGACTGAAACCTGGTGCCTGCTCATATGTAGATGCCTGGCTGGAAAGGTGAGAGTGATGGATATAAAGGCATAGACAGGAAGAGAGAGATGGCAGATTATATTATATAAAGAGGAGACTTCAAAAAAGAATGGGATGGTTAAGAGTTTATAAAAGATATGACTTTTGTGGGCAAAGAAATGCAATTTTGAATCCTCATAGCCTTCACATAGTAGGTACTCAATGTTTTTGTCATATAAGTTAATGAAAAACTTGTCAAAAGAATGTTATATTTAACACCAAGAAACACATCATTAGTTACTTAAAAACAGTTTCTTAAATTGTCTCTTGCCTGCTTGCAGTTGTCATTTAAAGGCAGATTTAAATGACAAACTGCTGTTTGTCTCCAAACTGCTGAATTAGAAAATGCTTTTGTAATAAGTAACAGATGTAAATTATTGTCTCAGGGAAATTTGAGAACAGTTGCATTTGAATTTGTATAAAGGGTGAGTGATGGCAGTTACATGTATGGGGATTAAGGGGGGAATATATGCAGAGGATATATAAAATGCTTCTGTAGGTTGCCTTTAATTAGCTTATAGATAGAGGGAAGGAGAGACTAAAATTAAGTTGTGATCTTTCAAAGATGTGTATTAGCATACAAACTTGAAATCAGACACCACACATATTTTGATCATTTTAGTGCAGCCTAGTATATCTCACATCAAGTAAATAGTTCCATATTGGGACCATAATAGGTTGTTGACAAGCAGCTTTTATTTCCTGGAAGTCTGTGACTATGTTATTTTTATTTAAGTTGTGTAATCAGTTAATTATGGGAAAGAAATCCAGTATTCCCAAGTACATTTGATTAATGTTAATTGTTCTGGTGTCTTGGGAACTAATTTCCTGAATAGGTTTGTTCTCAGAGTACTACAGCAAGACAGCTCATGGTTAAGTTGCCCAGAATAATCAACTGACTTGCAGTCTTATTTCTTCACCTCTATAATTAGTAATTATTTAGACAGGTATTTTTGCTCCCTGAATATGCCTGTACTAAATCACCGCACAGATCCTAACTCTGAGGATCTTTACTTAGAATGCTATCTGCTAGATAGCAAGAAGATAATTCATGTTTACTTGCCAGTACTGATATGCCTTGAGTTTATCAAAATAACTATTTGATATTTTCTACAATTATTTAAATGCTGAATGCTGGTAATAAACCAAAGAGAGATGATGATACTAACACTGGAGTTAAGAAATTGGTTGGAAAATAGATCAAAAAGGTAGAAAAGAAAATAACTTGTTGATAATTCACGTTAAACTAAAGTATGTATCTTATCAGTGTCTATTTAATAACTTCCAAGTATGAGAAAAAAAAGAACAACTGTACAGAACCAAGAGGATGGCTGTGTGTTTGTGGAGAGAGAGAAAGCCAGAAAGGAAAAGAGAGAAGGAGGAAGGGTTGTGGGGGGAGGGGGAGGGAGAAAGAGAAGGAGGGGGGAGAGAGGAGGAGGAGGAGGAAGAGGAGGAGGAAGAAGAGGAAGAAGAAGGAGGTGGAGGAAGAAGAGGAAGAAGAAAAAGGAGGAGGAGGAGGAGGAGGAGGAGGAGGAGGAGGAGGAGGAAGAGGAAAGAAGAAAAGGGAAGAGAGAGAAAAGAGGGAAAGATTTATTACAAGAAATTAATTCACAGGATTACAAAGGCTGGCAAACTTCAAAATCTGCTGTTGGCAAGCTAGAGACCCAGATGAGCCAATGGTATATAGTGCCAACCTAAATGCCATCAAACTTTAGACACACAAAAGCCAATGTTTCAATTCAAGTTTGAATATGGGAAAATAGAATCCATGTTCCAGTTTAAAGGCAGTCAGCAAAAGAAGGAATAGTTTTACTCAGTGGAGAGTCAGTGATTTTTTCTATTTAGGTCTTCAGATCAGATGAGTCACATAATCATATGAATCCCACAAAATTAGAGAGAACATTCTACTTTTCTCAGTCTGTCAATTTAAATGCTTAACTCATCCAAAAACATCCTTACAGAAATAATTAAATTAATGTTTAATCAACTACCTGGACACATCATATAACCCACACAAATTGACACATAAGTTAACCATCACATCTAAACAACAAGAGGGGAAAAAAAGGGAAAGATATAGTTGGATTTATGAAAAACTCAAGGAAAAATGCCAGCCAAAAAGAAGAGTTCATTTCTCATTCTCTAAGTTCTTTTAAAATCTATTGTATGTTGGTGCTAGTGGAAATAACTAACACTGCACATCTTAGTGATTCTGATTCAGATTTCAATGCACTTTGACACACTATAGAGCAGTGCGGTGATATTGAATTAATGCAAAACATATCCTATTACATCCGTTCATACAGGCTTCTGAACAAAGAAAATTAAACATTAGGGTTGCCTGTAAAAGTAAAGGATATGATAAGGAGGTGTTTACATAGGATGAAACCAGAATGGACTATTCATTTTTAACCTTTGGTCACTGAAAGAAAACATCTCTTTAATATAACCCATTTAGAAAAGCACATGTAAGCTTAAAATTCCTACATCCCATAGTGGGGTGTGTATGAGTGTATAGGTCTTTATTTATTTTTTTGTGTGTAGTAATGGGTAATCAACACTTTCTTAGGTTTCTATAATTGTTCAAAATTTCAAGTAAATGTTTATATAGAAACATTCACATTTTTCGATGAGCTTTGGATATAACTACAGATCTGCCTGAGGGGATTTGTGACATGATGCTTTTCCTTAATGAACTACTTTCAAAATTTTCACAAGAGGAATCCAAAATAGATTATAATTAATTCCCCTGTCACATTCTCCTAGGATAAAGTGACATATTTTCAGAAGTGGGCTACCCAAAAATTAGTCTGGCAGGGGGATGGGTGAGGAAATACAGAAGGAAGTGTGTTTTAAATACTTTGCTGTAATTCACTTGCTTATGTTTAGGCTGCAGCTACTGGGCTTTGGTAGGAAAGAAGCTGGGCTAGACATTTGCAAGTCCAGACAGAGGGCTTGTGAGCTTGAAAATCTAGCAGCTGGGGTGTGTTGTGGTAGCTGCTTTCCTGTGCTAAGCTGATTTACTTGTTTAAGGTCTGACCTCATCATCCTGTCAGTATGGGTTCCCACCTACACTGTTAGCAGCAGCTTTCTGCTTCAGCTAGAAGGCTAGAAGTATTCACAGTGTACCACAGGCAGAGGGGGAGGGGAGAGAAAGCAAGAAAGACTGCTCTCTTGTGCTTTTGTTAGTTTTGCAGAAGAGGCAGAGAAACAAGAGATAACAAAGGCTCGGTTTCCTTTCTGTTAGAGAAGGCTTTGTCTTTCCTTTTGCAACAATGTCTGTGTCCGGCAAGAAAGAATTTGATGTGAAACAAATCTTAAGGCTGCGCTGGAGGTGGTTCAGTCACCCTTCTCAAGGTTCGCCTAACACTGGAAGCTGCCTTCAGCAGGAAGGATATGAGCATAGAGGGACCCCGGTTCAGGGCAGGTTGAAGAACCACTCTCGGGACAGAAACGGACTGAAGAAAGGCAACAGTCCTGTCCACTACAATATACCGACACCAGTGTCTGGACCGGCCGCTGCTCATCAAAGAGCCCTTCAGAATTGGCACCAGCAAAACCTAATAGAACACCTTCAATCAAATAAAAATAGTCCTAAAGGAGGATCAGAGGAGAATTTGCTCAAAGAAGATTGTGATAAACATTCACAAAATTTGAAGATGAAGCCTGATAACCACAAAGAAGATTCTAAAGCAAGGTAGGAGTTTTGGGTTATATAAGTGAAAGTCATAGACTATTTTAACTTATTCTCTAAAACTTTCAGGTTTAAATAGAAGGTGTTATAATAGTCTCTTGAGTTTTTATGCAGCCAATCAAGGTCTCCAAGAAACTCCCTCCTCTAAGTTTATAAAGGAAAACTGTAATAACGCATCTATTTTGATAATTAATGAAATTAATTTTAGGGTAGTGAGTTTATTTCTCCTGTTCCATCCCCACTCCATTAAGAATTGTTCCAGTTCTAAGAGATATTTTTATAATTTTTAATTTTTTAAAAATACCTCTGTTGTTCAGATGTTCAAATAGTTGTGATTCTTTGAGCAAGTGTGATAAATTACGAGAATTTTTCCTGATTTTGTGAGTTAGACTAACTTGGACAAAATAAAGGCTCTGGGTGCTCAGCATATCCTTATCTATTGCATAATACACAGTTATAATAAGGACTTACAAAATTATGTTATTGTATATGAGGATATGAAAACTTTCTTTGGCATTTGACATTCAAGTTATGCTACTTTCACAACTAGTTTGCAATCATGAAAATATTCTGCATAAAGCAAGTAACAAGATGTTGCTTACAGGGCTGAGGCTGTAGCTCAGTGGCAGAGTGTCTCCCTCGTACTTATGAGGTACTGGGTTTGATCCTCAGCACCACATAAAAAATAAATAAAGATAGTGTGTCTACCTACAACTAAAAAAAGTTAAAAAACAAGATGTTGCTTACAACAATGAGATCTTAAAGTAGAAAATGGAATATGTCAGCTATTTAGGACATTAAAATCAAAGAAGAAATAATATATTGTGTTTGGGTACAGTCCAGAAACAAATTTATTTTATGTTACTTTTGTGTCCATTGGTCCTATTTGAGTTGAAAAAATATATATTGTGCCCTCTAATATTGTCAAATATAATACAGTGAATTTTTATGTGTCTACTTCTTCTCTTATTCATTATCAGAAATTTTTATATTCTCAATATATTTTAGACACAGATGAAGACCCTTGCAATGTAATTAACTTTTGAAAATGCTATAGAGCAAGACATATTTTGATCTGCTTAAAATAACAGTTCAGTTCAGGACTGGGGTTGTGACTCAGTGGTAGGATGCTTACCTAGCATGTTTGAGGCATTGGGTTAAATTCTCAGCACCACATAAAAATAAAATATTTTTAAAAAATAATAAAATATTTTAAAAAATAACAGTTTAACAAAAAGCTATGAAATTTTATTTGGAAATCTGGAAACTTGGCATACTATGTCTCTGTGGAGGATGCAGAGTTACTCCTTGATAAAAGTTGTCCCAAATGTGTTTTAAGAACACTGTCTTGCTTCCATAAATTGAAAAGAGAAACTCTAAAAATAACGTAACATTATGACAAAAGACAAATCAAATATGCCAACTGACACTTTTATAAGAACTAAGTTTTGTTGAAATGGAAACACATAGAAGATTTTTTTGAAATGACTTTAGTTTATTGTGATATAGGCTTCTTAAGAAATGAAGCGTGCATGTGTGTATTTTCTAATGTATTTTGTGTTTACCCGAGGAAATGGTATGTAAATACTGAGATTGAAAGTTGCATTTGGTACACCTAACAGGACTTTCACAATAATATAAAGCCTATATTATTAGACTCAGCAGTTTCTCAAATTATGTCTCTTTATTGTGAACAACATTTTTAAAAATGTTGAATTTGGAGATTAATGAAAGCATTTAACACACAGTAGACAAACTGAAATTGTTCACTGTGCTCCCCTGACAAAATTCTTTGAGTACTCATGAATTGATTTTACCTCATGGAAATGTTTACAAAAAATTAGATGCTAGAAGAAAATGCTGGCTAAGGTGTTGAATGCAAAGTATCACCATGTGATATATTTTTTAAAAAGTCTCTTTTGATTTTTTTGACTGATGATTTTTTTATGTTTTAAAAATTATTCTGTTGGGGCTGGGGTTGTGGCTCAGTGGCAGAGTGCTTGCCTCATAGATGTGGGTTACCACATAAAAATAAATAAACAAAGTAAAGATATGTCCATGTGTAACTAAAAACAAATTAAAAATCATTCTGGACTTACTCAAACTAAAAAGTTTTTTCTCAGCAAAAGAAACAATAAGAGAGATAAAYAGGGAGCCTACATCCTGGGAACAAATCTTTACTCCACACACTTCAGATAGAGCCCTAATAACCAGA